ACGATTCTGAATGGAAGTCGAGTGCGGGGGCGCATCCTCAGACGGGATTGATCAACGCCAAAAACTTTTAAACTGAACTTTTCATTCATTTATAAACTTTCTTCATCGAAGGCGAATAAATGTAATAATAAATAGATAAAAAATGAATGAAATGGTAAATAAAATTATAAATGGCATGTAAATTGGAATTTTTTTTTCAGCTGGAACAGAGAATTTCGCCTGTGAGCACTCGACAATAGCGTTGGAGCACAGAAAGTATATCCTGTACACTCACAACCGGCTAAGAAGTAAACTTGCGTTGGGTCATCAGCCAAATAAGCCCGGATTGGGAAAGATGGGAACTGGCAGAAATATATATTTATTAGTAAGCTACTTTACAATAAATTATCACTACCCTGCACTTTCTGCACTGACTTACTCTTTGCATTTTTCAGAGATGGGACTGCGATCTGGAATTGCTGGTTCATCAACGTATCCAGTCATGCTCACCTCATGTTTTGATGAACAGCAGCAGACTTTCCGGATCACAGCTAGTTAAACAGTGAGTCATAAGGTCCACTCATCGATGGGTGATATGTTTCGGCTACAGCTAATCATAAGCTATCATAGACGCTCCCTATACGCTACAAAGGGCAAAATTCAAAGTACCCGTGCAAGTAGTGTAATTCTGTAACACCTGCAAATTCCCATGGTCACCGGCTGGATGACCCAGAGAATTCGACTCAGGGATTCCTCTGTCCAAGAAACTCTGACGAGAAAAGGGGTAGTCCCGAATATAGAGCTACGTCAGCTTTTGCTGTAATATCGGTCGATAGCGTCCGTCCTGAGTTTCTTGGAAGAGGACTCACTCTCTCCAGCAAATTCTGTTCCAGGGATCGATCCGTTCATTTCGTTTTTCATAATTGCAGTTTTGACATCGGACTACAGGGACACAATGTCTCACATCATATCGAAGATTCAATGAGAACATGGTGGCTTCAATACAAGAGAAATGGAAATGTTGATCCAAAAAATCGATATTCGAGTAAACAGCTTTATTATGGTTGGGCGAATGTAAGTTAGATTTTAACTACTTCCAGAATAGTATTCAAAAATAAGGTATAGGTCATGAGGTGCCATGCATCGGAACGAAGTTACGGTATGCCACGACCTCGGATAGCCGTAACGCAATCGCTCCTACCGTAAAATTAGTTCCGCCACTATAGTAAAAATTAAGGAAAGGAAACGGCCTGGACCTAGCGCAGAATCGGCTGTGCTAGCAGGGGTTAAAGACCATTAGGAGGCGAAACCGTAAATGATGTCTTCAGTTTCCCAAGCTCTGAGTGATGCAGCTAGCTAGGTTCTTTTTAAGGCGCTTTTCACGAAACAAAGACCACAAGTTCTTTCCATCGCTACTCGAACTTCCTTTCTACTACGCGTGTATGAACCTTCCATACAAGAGTACCCAAACATGTATCTAGTCATTATTTTCAGGGGTCTGGATCCTTACGATTGCTGAGTTCCAAACGTGAAGTCGCTCCAGCGCTAATTTTAATTGAATTGATTGATTTTCAGAAATTATCAGATGTAAATTTTTAAGAGAGTTTTTTTTTAAAGTTATTTATTCAGATGGCTAAGGGGAAGACGACTCGTATTGGTTGCTCCTATCATCGCTGTAACGCAAACATGAAAGCAATTTTCTCCTGTATATACAGTGACAGGTTTGTCAATCTTGGAGGAAGGGTCTTATTTCTGACAGTAGCACTATCGAATTTATTTTTTAAACTTTCTCGTTGCATAGCATTTGGTTCGCAGGCATGGGCCAAGTTGTGCTCTGTGATCGTCGCGCTGAATTGAGGTCATTCAGAAATATTGACGTGACTGTTCGGTGGTCTTCAGGATTTTCAAAATTCAAAGGGGAAAATTTTTTCTTTCGAAAAAGTGTCTTTTCGTTTTTTGTATGACACTCTTTCCATACGCCTTTCTTGCCGTTGAGATGCAGAGAAGTAAACAACAAAATGCCAAAAGAAAAGAGAGAGAAGCTGGTCTTGGGAACAAATCGTCCTATCATGGTTCTTCGATTGCCAGAGCCCTAAAGATCAATTTACTGGGCCAATGGGTGTCGTCGCGGGCGATGACGTGATTTCGCGCGGCGGCCGTGATGGCGCCTCTTGACCCATGTCGAGCGATGAGCTGCTACCTTACACTACACAAATCCACTCGTATTTATGTCGACATTTTTTTGAGCCAGACAGGTCCCTAGCAGTAAATGGTGCCCCAGCCCTTTAAAAAGTAAAGGAACTGCAGAGAAGTTTTACCTCCCAGGAGTCATTTGGTTGTTGCAGAGCCCACGTGGAGAACCAACCAATATATGAACAGGGTCCACCGTGCAAAACGAACGATGATTGTTCCACGTATCCTCGATCTGAATGCATTAGCTCTTTGGGATTATGTAAGACATCAAGGAAAATAAACAGTGAGTTATAGAATCTTCCTATCAGTACATACCCGTTGCAGCCCGAAGAGCCCATCAGCTTTCTCTGAATCTTTGTCTAATTGCCTTTACATCATCGTTTCCTACGGTATCAGAAACGGTAACAGAAGGGTCATCTAAAAGGTCACTCTCAGACCTCCACTTCAGGGCATATTTTTCAGCTTCCCATAACAAATCAAACACCATGTGCACCAAATGGGATTCGAAAATGACAGATGACTGTAGAGAAAATGCGCTGGATCAGCATAACTTCTACAGGTGCGTTTCTTAATACAACTAACTTGAAAAAGCCGAAAACGCTTGAGGTCCATTGAACGAGCACCTCGTTTTTGGATTCCTTTGGAAAACCAAAAACGAGTTGCTCTGGAGTCAAGAAATATCGAATGACCTACTATATAACGATGGGTTAATTCGGAAGTCCCAATAGTGAAGAAAAGTGTGGAGTCGTGCCTGGAATTGTCCACTTTCTCAAATAGTGTTCGGGGATGTTTGGGTGAGGCCATTGAATCGTCGGTTTGGGGTTGGATCGGAGGCCTATCGACCCCACACAGCCTTCTACGGGATCACGACAACGGCAAGATTCCTCTGCTCCTCCCTTATTTTTTAAAACAAGATGTTGACTAAAATTAGTTGGTAAGTAAGTTAATTATTCTGCCTTTGTTTTTGTGTGGGACTGTTCATTAAATGAAAGGCCCGGGGTGCCGAAGTTTCACCGCCGCCTTTTGAAGACAGAGTTTCACCGTTAAAGTAGGCAGATTCCGCTGTCACCGTGAGAGAACTGTCAGCAGCGGAGTTAGCGAAGTGCGATTACGTCTGAGCATTAGTCCGTTGATTCAATAAATAATCCAATCTTAAAACTACGAATGGCAGAAGTATATCGTTGTCAAGGGCAAACGATGGTGCCGAGGTTAAAAACGAGAGAAAAATTAGGAACTGATGGCTAGGATATTTTACTTTCAGATCACGTTTAGCGAGGGGACTGGAATACAACAAAGAAACGAACGATTCTGCGCCGGGAGCTGCTGGAATGATGAAAATGGTTTGTTACGTTGATTGCATTGAAATTCACTTCGTGCTGGGCCTAGCTTATACAGTACCTGCTAAGAAAGTAGTCCACCGGCAGCGAAGTTAATATGTGCCGTCTTCGTGATAAAACGTATCCCTACGGACGACGTAGGAGAAGTCAGGGACACCGGAACGTCCTTCCCTCAGTGACATAGAATTCACGCGTATATAGGAGGGCGCAGACGATGAATCAATGCGGAGTCACCCTATTTCGTTTTTCTCGCTCAATCTCCCTTTGAGACAGCAACAGAAACTATGCGATTTTACTCGTGCTTCCCCCGTGGTTCCCGCAACTGATGTTTGGTGATGTCTACTGATTATTGCTATGTGGTTTAGCTTTTTTTTGAAGGTCCTTCCTACTAACATGACTGTTCAGAGTTATGACTGTGAATTGGAGAGAAACGCTCAACTATGGGCAGACGAGTGCGTATTTGAGCATTCGGATAGGAAAAGGAGACCAAATCAAGGTCAAAACCTTTACATGACCAGTTTCCTGTACCTGGAACCCACGTCTTTGCTACATATGGTAGGTAAGTTTATATTTACGAGCTCTTGGCTGCAGGGATTGCTATGCCTCCTAATGTTTCCTGCTATTTTACTTCTAGGTTCGAATTCTTGTCGGGTGGAGAATTGAAGGGAAGTACTACGATTACCGTATCTCTGGCTGTGTGTCGATTGGCGGTTCCGGGCTATTCAGCGGTACAAGCTTGAGAAGGGTCTTATCGCGACTAACCGATCATGCCACAAGAGTAGCCTTTACTTCAACCAGGCGGTTCTCAACTCATGTCCAAATAAAGCTGCAATGTTTGTAGAATACAGAGCGACCCATAAGCGGAGAAAATGGGGACTTCAGATGCCGTGCGATGCCCTAGTGTTCAACGCCTTCTCAGTTAGTGCGCATGCACTTGCGACCAACGAAGCTTACTTCCCATTCACTCGACATTGGCTTTGCGAACTAGGCGGAAGGTCACCTATCGTTCTCTACGGAAAGTGGGAGCGTAACGATTTTTCATGACGACGATTGAATCCAGAAGGAAGCAGAATAGGGTCTGAGAGCCAGATGAGCAGGGCCTTCTTTGACAGGGCAACAGTTAGCGTTGTTAAGGTAGTTTTTAGAAAATCGGGAAAAGATTGAGTAAAGCTGGTTTGGACCTCCATCCAATTTTTGCGTAGAACCCAAATTTTTCTTTATATTTCAAGTAATTCCAGTGGTCATGACCTTCTGTACATACGCATATCTTCTGTTTCGGTAACGGCAACTTCCAATCGGGTCATTTTTCAGGCTATTGAAATGTGGTGGAAAGAGCTCGAAGAGTATGGTATACCTGCTAATGCTGTTTTATCTGAGTCTTTCTGGTCATCTAAAGGAAAGCTCATTGGACATTTCACCCAGGTAAGAAGTTGTGTGTTATCGACATACTAGCATGAATTGAACAGTTCCGGCTTAGTCTCAATTCCTTCCTTATTGCTTGAGATTGAGTATGTTGCTGTTTTGTAGTTAAAAAACAGATTTGCCCCTGAGCTTAATGTGATTTAGCCGCTGGTGGGGATAAGGCTTGTTTTGCAGATTATGTGATGGTCTTCAGCGTACCCTATTCGGGCCCTTTGATTGTTACCACTAGCCCAAACTAGGCCTCATAGGGTATTTTCATCTCAAAATCCGTCCTGAAAAGTGAGCATTAGGCTCTTGAATGTCACCTAAAGGACCCTCTGGAGCTAAGAACATCTACTGATGGGCGTGGCAAACAGCCTTGGAGAGACGGTGGCCGAGTTGCCAGCATGGAAACGCATTCATTTACCTTAGGTAATCGGCATAACTCTGAAATGAGTAGTCAGAAGACTAGCCGGATTTTTCGAATTCCTCAACCTTTTTTCACGTCAGAATCGTATTATCCAAGCTCCAACGCTTTCATTGCGCAGCTATTTTTTATACAACACGAAAGTACATCTACCGTAATACCGCCGAAATGTGATAGGAAGCATTGGTGGCATACGGTAGCAATTATTTGTAGTAACACTTTTGCTATCCATTTTGAAATAATCATTTTTGTCCAGTGGTATATGTAATGCTTTTAAGGACAAGGTTGTCAAATTCTTTTTTTGAATTGATTATGGTATCATTGAGTTGACTATCGTTCAGATGGCTTGGGGCGAGACTCATCGAGTCGGTTGTGCAGTCGGAAACTGCTCCAACATGGGTCTGGTCGTCTGTCATTACAGCCCTGCGTAAGTTTTCTGCTTAAGATATCAATAGCAAGGGCTTGCAAACTCCTTAAGGGCATAGCAGTCCGCGACTTGAAAGAGATCGTATCCGAAATCGTACTATAGTTATTATTATAGATATAGCAATTATTCTAGAAAAAAACGTAGTAGGATTTGCTTCCTAAGTGGGCCTACTGTAAATATTACTATAGAAAAGTAAAAATTCATTATAGTTATGGAATTTTGCCATGAACTGAGTCTGTAGAGTAAGGGAGCATGCATTGGGAGAGCTGCTCGTACCGCGTTTTTGTCTCGAGTCGTTAGACCGTTTAGGATCGGCATCTTTCATAGTCCACGACCGGACCGGTCGCCGGTCGCTCGCGAGATGGGTCCGCGACCGGTCGCGTGACTGGTCGCCGGTCGCTAGCGACTGGTCGCTCGACTGGTCACTCGACTGATCGCGCGGGACCGTCCACGGCGGCACCCATAACTAGCGCGGCCTCCTCGACCGATCGAGCGACCAGTGGCGCGATCAGTCGAGCGACCAGTCGCGCGACCGGTCGCGGACCCATCTCACAAGCGACCGGTCGTGGACTATGAAAGATGCCATCGTGCACCCAAGTGATCAAAGCCGCTGCCGCGTGATTATCTGTGACCGTAGGAATTCGGGCAGGAAGCCACCTATCATTAGATTCATTAGAGCCACCTGTAGACACGAGAGAAAAAGGGGACGAAATGAGTTCAGACAAGCGTCGAAAAGTCACTGCCTTCGGTCGATGTCCCCAGACCTTTTCTAGTAATCAACGTGACTGCTACCGTAGGTTCTGAAAGAGTACATGACACATTTATTCCAAAAGTTATGCTGAGTTGTTGTCATTTATTGTTTGTTTATCCATTTTGTTTGTTTACCCGATTGCCGTGACATCCACAGAATGCGTATCAGATTTCTCTAATGGAATTAATTTTAGCGGTAATCGCAGAAATCATTCAATATACAATATTGGAAAGCATTGTGGACTGGAATCGAATTGTCCACGAGGTTCATTTTGTGAAGAAGAAGAAGCATTATGCTCTTTCCAGTGAATGTTGGGAACTGTCGCAATAGGTTTGCGATACTTTTAAAATACCTATTTTCGATTTTTTTGCTACATATACTACTACATAGCGGTGTAGGTGGAGAAGTGGCAAGCAGCGCACTATCACTCAGGCATTGTCACGGGTTCAAATCCTGGGTAGATATCTACCCATGCCTATCAGGCCTTCCATCTCTCCGGGATCGGTCGTTTGGTATCAGACTCGTCTGGCAGCTTTTTTCCCGAGCTTTTTTCCTCTCAAAATAGCTGATACAAATTAATCTACCTCGAAAGGATGGAACGCTTAATCGGCCTGGGCGGGTAGGTTGGAGGGTTTGATGCTCGGACAGTATTTTCTGTAGATGATCTATTTTTTTTGGTCCCACGTAATACCATTTTCAGGTCCTTTCGTCCATAGGAAGTTTAGTAAACTACAAATATGTGCCTGCTACCCAAACGCCTATATATGTTTTCCACGGAAGAGGAAGCCGTAAATTGTGGTAAGGCATTTATTGGGATGGGAAAAGTCAATAAAGCCATAAAGATGTTTTTCACATCATGAATAGCCTATCTAATCCGTTATTGACGCTAACAATCTCGCGTTGATTTTTGGACATTTTCGTTTCTTTCCTTTTCTTTCATACTGCCTCTTTCTTCTTTTCTCTACACTACGCTTTCATCCTCTCTTCTAATTTGTTCCTCCCTCAAATGCCACTTCCAGCTCCGTCGGAACGGATACTGCATGAAATTGACGGAGTTGATTTTCGAATCGTTCATTTCTCTTCGATTCAGCTTCTCATCTTCCACATTTTTTCTTTTTTTGTAGTTGAACGGTCTGAAGGACTCGACGGTAAAGAAGAGTCGTCTTGTCCCAGTTCCTCTTTGAGTACCTTTTTTTGTCAGGGATCACCGGCATCGTTGAAAACATTCGGGTGACCATTCCTCAAGTATGACCGAATCCTTGAGATTCGACGCAAATCTGTTGTGACGTTCTGGGTTGTTTTTTTTCGTTTATTTCTTGTGTTTTTTGGTGTGTTTCTTTTGCTGTCCTCCTCCTCACGTTTTGCCTCGATTTTCTTTCTGACAGCATCAAAAAAGCTTGAACTTTCCTGTTTAAATCTGATTACCCGATGAAATCTTCTCATTTCTTCCTGTCTTATACTTCCTCTTAAGCTGTTCATGGCAAAAGAAGGTCTGCTTTGGATTCGATTCCACTCCCGAATTTCTCTGTCGACCCCACTGGCTTAGAAAGGACTAGAGTTATTCCGGATGAGTGCCTCGCCCTTAGCTAATGTGTGCCTTGAAAATTTCCCTTGCCGTTTCCGTACGTGATTTTCTTGGCAATGGAATACTTGAGTAATGATCCAAACGGATCAAGTGCTTTTTCGATTGTAGTCCTTCTTTCCCTGGTCCTTTTGAGTAGACCGCCTCAAACCCCTCTTTCCTTCTTCTTCGTCTTGGTCTTTTTATGTAACTGATCCTTTTTATTTGCACTTTCACACCCTCTCAATAAACGGAAACCTCCCCATGCGCATTATTTTCAGCTTCACTGCTCATGCCGTCTGGGGTATTTCCTTTCCTGCTCCTTCCAGCGTAGGCTTTTCTTTCTTGCTGTTCCTCTTCTGTTCGCTTCTCCTTTTTCTAACTCCTTTACACTGTTACCATTTAATACAATCATGGTACATAGATTGATCTGGAAATTACAGTAATCTGCTTGGAAAATCTGGGAAAAAGGTTTTGAGCATGCTTAAGCTTTCTTCTTCAGGAGATACAAGCATAAAAGTCATCGTCTGATTTTTTGCCTTAAATGCTCAGTAATGAATTCTCGTCGTTGGGCTTCGAGCTGATCTCTTTTTCGTTCCCTTCATCTTCTCATATGGGCTGTTTTCAAGATTTCATTCATTGTAATAGGTCCTCTATCTCTACGCGAGGACCGATTCAGATCACGGTGTATTTGGACTGTCTAGTACCGAACTCCTTCCTATGGGGGTATGGCTATAGAGATTTGCTCAATCCTGGTCGTCTTTGCTTCCTACGGCTTCCAGAATTTCGTGTATTGAGGACTGATAGCCGCCGAATAGAGGTTTCCAGGAACCTCCTGTACCGTCGTTGCCGTTGTCGCAGTTTGTTCAAAAAAAAAGATTATTGCACTATTGGTAACGGAATTGTAAAGACACGCTTCACTGCTTCCATCAAGCGGCGTTACGGTGACCTTATATTCCTGTCTCCCCAACCGACCACAGCAACTGTTGATATTCCGCGTGGTCTAGGTAATTCAAGGATCAGAACCATGATAATGCTCGCCAATAAGCTGCAAGATCGCTTCAGGATAGTCACAAAAGGAGCTATGATTATTCTGCTGTTGATGAACTCCCCACCTGAGGATTTCCCAAGTCTCGACTCGCAGTGTTTCAGAAGAGCGCCTCGAGGAACTGCTCAAGCACGGGTACAAGTATTAGGAAATAGTGACGAATACATTATACGGTGGCTTGCATCACTTTTCGTTACTTTGATCAATTATTGTCTCGAACAAGCGCCAGTACGGCTTCGTTTGTCCCTTTCGCAAGCTAAAGTAGTGCAACGGATCGTCCTCACACCCGCTCACTCTCAGAGGATCGAATCCAGACTCGATATCTGCCTAAGCCAACCTTCTATCTTGCCGAGGTCGCTTAATAGGTACCATACACGTATGGTTGCATGGTAAATAAAGGCGCTGATTTTCTGGTCACCGTAAATCACTGTTCTGTTGAAGATGTATGGTTTCTACACACTAGACATAATAGGGCCCAACTTTTCCCCTAGAAAGAGGGGGCTGTCCTCCCTGTTGAGCGCCACGCCTATGAACGAGTGTTTTTTTATGCTCGAGGTATATCCTCACTGGGGTATTTTCATCTTTGGCTAGGGTACATACGATGTTGGAGGTGAATGAGATGCGCCCATATAGAACTTATTAGTGGAATGTTCTCAAATGAATAGATAAGACCATTCCGCTTTGACCAGCGTTCCTGTTGTTTTTCCATCTGGGCAGAGTGGCATTCTATAATGCGTCGTATTATATTTGATAGTAACACAAAACCACAGGTGATTCCTTATTGCGCTCTATATGAGTTCCCTGTTCATATAAGGAAGCCACTTAATGTCGAAGGCTCCTCTTTTTACATGCGATCTCATTTCATACACGCTAGCTAGAAACTTCTCATAAAGTCTTTTCACTTTCTGTTTGGTGAATTACTTATTCTGCAGGCTAGCTTCATGTCCAAAAGCAGTTACGGTAGCCACATGTCCGAAAGCAGTTACGGTTTTTGGGTGGAAGTTGAATGCATGGGTGCATTGCAAAGTGGGATGTTTACTCTTTTTAATGCCCAGCGCTGAGTATTTTTGTGGAGGCAGTGGTAAGGCCGATGCTGAGCTGTCCCTTTTTGTCCTACTTGAAGGTGATCCTTCAGTGCTCGGCATTCCGCTGAAAAACTGAGATCTGAGGTTGAAGCCGGCAAATTGCACTCAGGTTCCCTCAAACAAGAATCTAAGAGGTTGGACGAGTTATCCGAAGCATTACTCGACTTTGTTCCCTGGCTTGTTTCAACAATTCTAGGACAATCTAATAGGGCACACGTACATGTGCCTAATTCATTACAATACGACAACAAATGTGCAGGTCGCTTTTTATTCGTATCAGATCAAGGCCTAACATGTAGGTGGACGGAGTTTGTGAGGAAAATAAGCACTTCGGAAGCTTTTCCCTACAAAGTCGTTTTGTTCACCGGGTCTCGTATCCTCTCCCGGAACGGCGTGTCGTGTCCGCCGCATGCGACCTGGCATTGTGAAAGGAAAGATTCGAATTCCCAGTGGAAACCTCCGAAGAGTCGCCGCGGAACCACTGCCGCAGGTCGTGGGCATACGGAAAGAAGTTCCATCACACTTGTTCACCTATACTCACAGATGGGATCAAAGGTGT